AGATAGGCTGGGCGTGGTAGTGCACACCTGTAATCAGCATTCAGGAGGCAGAGGCGGGAGGATCACAAGAGTCTGGGCTCCTTATAGAGTTCAAGGCCAGCCTGAACTACATAGCAGACCCTGCTAAAAAAATAAAGGAATACGTAAATACACTTCACAAATATAGCAGCCTTAGGCTATATAATTTAAGCTAGATGTGGAAGTGCCGAAGCTCTCTATATGTAAATGCAAATATAAAGCAGTATTTTTCTGTATTTTAAACCATACAAAAGTGAATTGGTTGTTGTGGAAAATGGTGAGATTAATGTTATTAGAAGGGTTTGTGAAGAAGCTGGACTACCAGTTAGAAAGAGTAGCTGGTATTTAAGCAGTGAGTCAGCAGATAGTAGTTTCAGTGACTGGAAATCTCATTCCTGTGAGTCTTTGTATATTCAGTCCTCTTTGTCTACCATAGCAGTTGAAAACGTTTTCATTGCTTGATTTTGTGGGGGTTGTTTTGTTTTTTGAGACAGCATCTTGCTGTGTAGTCCAGGCCAGACTGGCCTTGAACTCCTGGCAATCCTCCTGCCTCAGCCTCCCTCGTCCTGGGTTACGAGTGTGTGCCACCATGCCCGACCATTGCTTGACTTTGAATAAAAATCATACTTCATGGTTAGGAATGTGATTCAGCTTTCCCAAGGGCCTAATTTAACTTCCAAAGATGAAATTTTTCTGTGTTTTAAATAATACAAAAGAATGTGACAAGATTCTCAAGTTAAATGTGAAAGACAGATGTTCTTTCTGAATCTGAAAGAAGTATTTTTGATCATTTACTTTTGCTGTTTATATACTTTCCACTATAAGGGGAAAAGATCAGTAGCTAAATGGCTATGGATTTCTATTTATTTCTAGGAAAAAGTGCTATGAAGTAACTTTGTAGCCTTTAGATTAACTTAGCAGTAACTGTGTCCCACATAATATTCAAACTTTGGATTTTCTCACACAAATTTTTTTCCGCGGAAGCCAAAATCATGTTTCCCCCCAAGTCTTCATCAGTAAGATTTACTGTTGTCTGTGGCCTCAACTTGAATTCTCAGTTAGGCCATATACGAGGAGAATAGTCACAAGAGCATGGCAGAACCCGAAACACTTCACTCTGCTAAGGAAATGGTTGATGTCACAGGCACTCGTGGTGGATGTGTTACACCTCTCTCCTGTCATAAAGGATAAAGTGTCTAAGAACATGAAATAAGCTTTCTGCTCTGTGATTTTCTGACATAGAATATCTCAGGTAAACTTATGCTCAGTTTCATTATTTACAAGCATATTCATTATGTCAGTTAAAATGACATGATTGATTGGACTGCAACATTCCCGGCCTTTACGTGGAACAGGTGAATTGCAGTTGTTACGCTCTGCAGCAAAGACAGCTTTCTCTTGCTGAAATACTGTGCAGGTGCACTCCATCGTTATATAATTTCAAATATTTTTTCCAACAAAGATATTTTGAATTACAGTTTTTAATATTCTCTGTTGGTTTTAGGTTTCTTTAGTGACTCTTCTTACCACTGTGTTGAATCTTCTTTGCTTAGTCTCCAGTACTTGCCACTTGCTTTCTCTACTATTTTTTAATCGCTTTGTTTGTAGGCTGGCTTTAGGGTTTAAACCCAGGGACTCACGCATTCTAAGCAAGTGCTGTGCCACTGAGCTATGTCCCATTTTAAAATTTTATTTGGAGATAGAGTCTCGCTGCGTCACTCAGGCTGGCCGGAAACCTGTAATTCCTCTTGCCTTGGCCTTCTGAGTACCTAGGATCACAGGTATGCACTGCCATGCCTACCTTTTAATTACTACATTTAAAATTAAAAACAATTCTTCTTTGGCCTGTCCATGTTTTATTACATTTGCTTGCTGTCCTCGATTGCTGTGTAGCGCAGCCTGGCTGGCCTGCAGCTCACCATAATCCTTCTGCCTCAGCCTCCTGGGTGCTGGCGTCGCAGTGTACCCCGTGCCTCCACTCCCGGCTCATTTATGAAATAAGTTTTTTTCTAAGGCTTTCCTGAATATTTCAGTGAAATGTTACTGGTTTCATTGTCCTTTTACCCCTCGCATGTGTCTTTTCTCTAATCGTTCTCATGTATATCATTTAGCTAGTTCTGAATTAGTAGGTTACAGGTTTGATGTGTGGGCATATTTTCCTGGTGTGGTTATATTATAGAGATAGATGTTACTCTGTTTTTACTCTTCTAACCTCTCCCTTCCTGATAATTTTGTATGAGATTTGACCTTGATGTTTTGGATCATATTTATTTGACATTAATTGTCTTTACTTAGAAAAAGAAGTAAGCTTAGTTAGCTTTTTTTAATTTCGCGAACCTGGCTCTTTAGAAGTTTCCATGTAGTGTTCAAAAATATGCGACACTCTCCCACTCCATTCCTGTTTCTCACTTTTTTCTGGTCCTGCTCTTCCTGTAGTTCCGTTATTCCTACCATTTAAATTATTTCCCAAGAATTTCTTCTCAGTGTGGTTCCTTGTCAGGGAGACTCGGTGGTTGGTTATGAGAGTCCACGGAGGCTGGACTCTTTCCCCCCGTTCTGAGCTTAAGTGGGCCCTTCCTACTTACTTGCTATGGGACTGTGTAAGTCCTCTTTCGTATGGGTTGCTTCTCTTGAACTGGGTCACTGCCCTTTCCAGCTCTTGTATCTTGGCTGTTCTGTTCTGTTTTCACATCTTTGGGACTTCCCATTAGTTGCAGGCATTGGGTAGGTCTAGTGGTTGTTAGTGGGTTTTCCCTACTGGTGGATGGTATTTTGAGGTTTGTGGGGATAATCAGTCACCCTGTTCTTTTTGGTAATACTGCTTATGAGATGTTAGTTTTTCTATCTAGTGGCTCTCTACTTTTTTACGAGGAGATTCTGGCAGACTTTGTAAACTGCCTCTATTACAGAATTCTCATGATAAGCAATATTTAATAGAATAAAGTTACAATTTAAAAAAGCTGATGTGAAGAAATCCATGGTTTAACAACATATGATCTTTGTGCATTGGAACATACATAATTTAACCTCTTAAGGCTTTGACCTTTGGATAAATTTTCACAGTGTCTTAGAGAACCAGGCACATAATAAGCTTTCAGTACATAATTCTTGGTGTATAGTTATTCAAGAAAATCCTAGGTCAGAAACCTTTTTCTGAATTTGTGCAAAGATTATTCAGTATGATACCATCAAGCTGACAGAACGTGTAAAATCATGGCTTTATGTATACAGTGTTTAGATTGGTTGAGATTCTACTTCATGCTGACTTCTTGCCAGGATCATTAAATGTGTCTCCGAAGAACAGTGGAGAATGATGCAGCCTGCATTACGGCGTGGCGTTTGTGTATTGCATCCTTCTGAGCAGTGAGATAAAGAAGGAAGTGCGGTGTGTTTTGTAAAAAGATATTTAATCTAAAAAGTTTAATAAGAGATTTACATTTAAAGCAATACATGTGGGGAAAAAACACATAGGTTTTGAATTTGAATATTTAAGCTTGTGCCCTATATATTCCTTTTACTCTTGATTTAATTTTTTTTTTCTTTTGGTACTGGGGATTGAACTCAGAACCTTATGCTTGCAAGGCAGGCGCGGTGCCACTGAGCCAAATCCCAGACCTCTTGATTTAATTTTTAAAGGCAAAACTTTTAATAAGACCAGAAATTGTTTTTATAAGGTACATATTTTAGAAGTTTGTATTTTTAGTAATTATTGTAGTTCTTGGGTTGAAGCAGTGAACAAGATTGTAAGATGTTTTTTAATGGAAGTCTTTATTAATTTAGCATATTAAGTCTATAGTACTTGGTCTAGGTAGACCTGAGAGAATGTAACTAAAGAAATAGTAAGCTATTTGAAGATAAGGGCTCAACTCGCATGTAGAGTACTGTATTTGGTAGGAAATTGTTAGATGTATGGATTGAATACATGTGTGAATAGTTCATCTCGGAACAGTTATTACTTTCATTGCATGTACTGCCTTACACTGTAGTCACGCTTTTCCCTGCTTTATGCAAATGCAGTAAAGACAAAGGAGAACAACATACGTAATGCTCTGGCCTGAGACTATCCTGGCTCTGCTGACTAAATGATCATTGACTTAGGAGTGGCTCCTAAAGAAAAGTATCTAGTCATAGGGCAAGTTTTAACGTGTAATAATGTCTCAGTACCCTTTTCATAGTAAATGTTTAAATGAATTAATACAATTTACACTGTGCATCTTTTCAGTCAGAAAGATGGAAGAAAGCAGCAGGCTGTGCGTGGGAAAGTAGGACAGTGTTCTGGGACCAAAGTGCCTGGCAGTGATGAAGGTGACAGCTAGCGCCAGTTATTGGTGCAGGGCTGAGCCTGTGTGTGATCAGCGGTGGAGACAGAGTTGGGGGGCTCTCAAAATGTCTCAGTTGAAAAGTAATTCTGGATGTTCCTTTGGAGAAGGTAATCTGATGATTGCATTGGCCCTGGCAGCTGGAGATACATGTGGAGCTCTGAGGGTGGTAATGGGTCTATCAGTGGGAGGAAGTGTACAAGAAGTACTGAGGAGATAGTCCCTGAGACTCGAGGCAGAGTCCAGGACAACTCCTGAGCTGGCCTGCAGTGCCCAGAAGGAAATGGTGTAGATGGTGTGAATTTCAAAGTAGCCACGATACAGGAAGGTGATGTGAAACTTTTCTAGTTTTACCCTAACAATGTTTAATTTCTTTTGTTTAAAAAGAGAATGCATTCTTTGAATTTTTAGCAACTAGCAAAAGCTGCAGCAGAAAAATCAAGATCTGTGAATATCTAGAAATTATAAAAAAGTATGGAAACCGCTACCTCTAATCCACATCATGTGAAAGGATTTAATTGTATGGTTTATTCTTAAAAACAGTTAGACAAAAGAGAAAAAAACTCCCCCTGAAAACAGTTTCATGAAACTGAAGAAATGGACTCTGTATCAAATATTTCCAGAGAGTTCCCAAGACCAAAAATGGTGGCCCTTCTTTTCCAGCAGCTGGAATCCAAAAGATCTTGAAACCAGTCCTGAAAGGCTTGCTCCTATGCAAGAAATCCTGATGGCTTTTGAGAGGAAGATAGAGAAGTATTCTGGAAAATTTGAAGAGGTAGTCGAGGTGAGTTGCTGACATGAAGAATTGATCCAGGGACGACCAGCATTCATTTCTCTTTTAAGTAAGAATTTGTTTAAAAAATTAGCTAAGGTAGTTAAAAAATCTTAATCTTTTGTGTTTTTATGTATTTTAATGAATAGAAAATATTAAGTTCATTCAGTAGAGCAAGTAGCTTTCCCCTTCATATACAAATCATTAAAATTTTAAGACGCTTTCAGTTTTTAGCAGCCATAAGGTTTCCTTAAGATGATGACCCTGGGAAAGGCATGGTAAATAAATGCCATATTTATGCTTTTAACCTACTGTGAGTATAAGATCTGCTTGCGTGAAATTTTTAAAATGTGTACATTTGGTTTGTTCGTAACCTTTTTGACTCATCAGAAGACTTTGTTCACTGTATAACAAGGAAGAAGTTCTGTTGCTGCTGCTTGCACCTCTCTAGCCTCGCTCCTTCTCCATACTTTGTTGTTAGGAGCAGTGTAGTATTAATACAGCCTCCCGCAGTGCTTTACTCTCTTTGGGGGAAAGGAATATGTGGTCATTATACAAATCTTTCAGAGTACAAAAATGTAAAGTGATCTTCCCCTCTCCATTCTGCCTTCAGCCATCCCATTTCCCTTCATAGAAGCAGATCTATGTACGAATTTCTTGTGTATTCCTGAACTATTTCATGCATACATACATGACATGTAGATGTTACACATTTCTGTACTCTTTACACAAAAAGTCTTCTGACCTGGAGGTCCGATTCTTCTTTCTTCCAATATGTTCCTCAGAAAATTGGGTACAAAAATTTTATTTTAATTTTCCCCCTTAATCATAGATATGCACTGTCTTTCTATGAACCACTGATATTTAAGAATTTATTATTTTCAGTTTTTTCATGTCTTGCATTTTTGCCATTGGGAACTTGGAAGAGCTAACAAAATTCAGTCATTTTCAATATCTGCTATTCTGTTGTTTTCTCTACTTAACTCATTTTTAAAAAACAGCCATTATACCCCAAAGGGCAAGTCATTACATACATGTGAACTTTCGCAAACTATGCTGATAGCTACCTCGACTAAGATCTTGGTAGCAATTTTAGTTTTACTGTTAGTGGTTGTTGAACAAATATGTCTTAGTACCTGGGGAGCAGAGTGCAGGAAACACTACAGGGACAGCCAGAATGGGACCGAGAAAAGGGGGAACTGAAGGGAGGTCTAAGGAGCCTCCTGTAGCAGACACAACTCCTGAGCCTGGAGTGCCCTGTGTTTAGGGTTAGCTGTGCTAGGAATACAGGCCACACCCTGGAGTAGTTTTATCACTTGGGAGATTGAATAAAACCTAGTTTGGAATTTCAGGTAGCCTGTGATTTTGCCTTTTTATTATGTTTGTTTTCCAGTATTGACAGTGACTTACACTTAGGCGCCTTTGTTTCTGTGTTCCTCTTACCTTTTAACATGTTTATTTATTTCTTTCTCTTTCACATGTTTATTTCAATAAAACTGCTTTTGCGTGCTGCATAGTTAGCATTTGGTTACTGGAGATGCTCCAGTGACGTAAAACGATGTTTTGTTTTACATATGCAGTACTGTTATATAAAAATAAACTTTCTCTATTATGCATTATGTGTGTGTGTGTGTGTGTGTGTGTAGATTTTTTTTTTTTTTAAACAGTTTTTCCTTGTGTAGTTGAGGCTGGCCTTGAACTCATGGTTATCCTCCAGAGCGCTAGGACCACAGGTGTGAGCCATCATACTTGACTCTTTGCTGAATTATTGATTCTACCTATATTCTTTTTAGCTATTCTGACTTTTGGTTTTATTTGTTGGTTTTGTTTAGTTATTCTTGGATGGTGTAGTTTGTTAAATTAGACAAATATTGTAAGCAAATGGAGATTAAAAGATTAAATCAGTGGTCTCGGCTCTCTTCGTTCTCTGTAAAACTTTAAAAACTCAAAAGTGCTTTAGAATGTAGCTTCTGTTCATAATGCTAAATGTGTGATTGGTTAAAATGTTGCATAGTTTGCAATTTCAGAAATAAATGCTTGTCTCTGTAATGTGATGACTGTGTGTTAGGTTGTAGATGTTTTTCAGTAATTCCCGTTTGAGTAGTGTTCTTTGGGATACAATCTCGTGATGTTTGAGGATTTGGGCTTGTGTTCTTTGTATTGAGTTATGGGTAATGCAGAAAAAACTAAAAACATGGTGGAAGGGGCAAATACTTTTAATAATAGATTTGGGATTCTTAAGTGTTACACTATTTTCAGGTAAAGCCTTTTTTAATAATTATAATAGTGTTGATTTTGGGTGAAGATTATTCAGTTAAAAAGTAAAATCCAAAATTGATCTTTAGGAATTTAAGAAGAATTATATGAGAACAGCCTGAATTTTTCCTTGTTTTTTTTTTAAGGTGCTGGGCATAGAATCCAGGACTTACCATATGCTAGGCAAGCGCTAAGTTAAAAGACCAAATCTAACAGGAAAAGTAAATACAACTAATTTTTTTTGATGGGGGAGGTTTTTGAGACAAGGTCTCACTATGTAGTTGAAACTGATCTGGAACTCAACACTTGAAGTGTGAGAGAAATAGAAAAATAAACATTACCTGGAAAACACAAGTTCTCTAAAGCTCAGCATCATCAAATATTGTAGTGTCTTTGAATTTTTAATGGCATATTTGATAGCCTTGCAAGTATATTGAAGAAGTGAAAAACGGGTTTGAAAATTCCAGGTTTTTTAGAATGATAACTTAGTCCTCAGCATCTGGCTTGATTCCCAGACATGAGATGGTAGAAGTTAAGATAGCTTGTTTATTACTAACATCTTAATTCCACTGGTTGCAAATAATTAAAGATATAAAGCCTGTGTTTCTATTAAGAGAAACATGTTCCATCTATTATGTATCACCCAGCAGAAAATCGTTTGACCTCTTTGTATCTTGATTTCCTCGTCTGCAGCAAGAGGACTGTAGAGCAGGGCGTGGTGCTTGTCAGACCCACGGGACACAGTAAAGCCGCTTGGGAGGAAGCAGGGGACGCCTAACCCACCAGGTGTTGACGGCGGTTGTGTCAGGAGTTGGGACATAGAGGTTGATGGTCGTAGTTCTTTTACGTATCATCTGGCAGATTCAGTTTCCTTTATTGTACAGTCAGTGTTGTAATAACCTTTAAAATTTAAAATCTCACCCCTCCCCAAACCGTGGAGGCTGGTGATTGTCACTGTTCTGTTACCATGGCAGTGCTGTCCTTCAGGGCCGGTGGAATCTATTTTCCTAAGTATCCTGTAGGGTTCTCATCTGTTACAACCAGTTTGTACCCTGCGTCTTATCACCTCCACAGAACTCCAGCTTTGGGGCTGGGGCTTGTTTTCTCCAGGTTACTCAGCCTTGCCCCTTCCCTCTCCACCTCCGTTTGAACTCCTTTCCGTTCTTTAATTTGGGGAATTTAGGAACTAAGCTTACCAGTACCCTCCTCGTCTCTAGGGTCACCAGTAGCTGTGATGTGCCGTCTCCGTTTGCCATGGTCCTGCCTGGCGGGTGCTCGTGCACCAGCGTCCAGTCACTTCGTGCAGTTGTCTCCTACAGAAGGCTCAGTGCTGTGTTCCACATCCCCTTCCTGTCGAGGTTTTTATGCCTGTTTTCTTTACTGTTTAGTTGTGATGGATAACATCACAAGAACAGTGTTTAATAATTTGGCATAATGTACATGTATGCCTTGTTTCTAATTATATTTTCACCAGCATACAATATTAAGGACATTAAATAAACATGCAGTCCTATTAATTGAATATAAGATTGCTGATTATAAGAAACACATCCATTTTATGGACTAATAGAAATTGTCATTTATAAGACCAATTATAAGATGCATTCTGTTTCAGAGATGATAGAATATGAAAAATTGAAACAGGAGTAAGGAGATACGTGGTATATGGAATGGATATTGTAATGTAAAGTATATGGAATGGATATTGCTTTTAGTCTAGATTTTTCTATTGAAATTTCCATGTGCTCTTGCTTGCCCGATAGAAAATTGTAACATTTTTTATCTCAGTTTTAGTGAACTGTATCTAAATTACTTCTTGCTTCATTGCAGATATGAAGAGGTTTTTTTTTTTAAAATCTAGGACTTTCCAAATGTTTAATGCCTTCATGATTATATAACCTGTTCATCTCTGCTTCGGAGTCCCACTGTGGCACAAAGATGCATTCATTCATTTGAATGCTTTGAGATGGGAAACATTTTTTTTATTTTCACTTTCAGAAAGGGTGAACTACACTGGAAGTTTCTTAGTTCTTTTCTCCACACACAGAATGGCTACACTGCAGCTCTGCTCTCGGTATTTTAATAGGGTTTTTTGTTTGTTTGTTTGTTTGTTTGTTTTAGTACATGTAATTCTGACTTGGAAGTTCATAGATTTTAGGGAAGAGGTTTGTATTAAGTTAACTTTGTGTTTCTGTAATGAAACATCAGAGGCAGTTAACTTACAAAGCAGAAGGTTGATTTGGCTCATAATTGTGGAGATTCCAGTCAGGAACTGGGTCTGCTCCTTTCTGGCCTGTGTGGGGTGGGAGCCTCAGGGCAGCAGGAGAGCATACGTGGCAGAGCAAAGTGCCTGCAGCGAGAGCCGGGAAAGTGACGGAGGCCACCGACTCAGAGCCCTGAGCACCCAGTGCTCTACCATATGCACCAGGGACCAGGACTTTGGCGCCGCTCGAGTGAGCCATTGCAAGGCTTTGTACACTCATGAGTGTGTGTGTAAAATTGAGGCATTAGGTAACAGGTGGGTTTTTTATTTTTGTTTTTAATGGGGAAAGCTTTCAGTAGGATCTCAAAGGGGGTTCACAACTCCAGAGAAATTAATACCATTCTGAACAATTCTAGATGAGCGCTTTTTCTTTTTTTTTCTCATTAAGTTAATTGGTACATTTAAGGTAAACAATATAGTTACACTCATCGTTGGTATCTTGTACCTTTACGTGATGTGTCTTCTGGTTGTTTTGGTACCCGGGATTGAACTTGGGCCCTTGAGCTTGTGAGGCAGGCTGCAGAACCGCTGAGCCAAATCCCCGGCCGTACATGATGTGTCTTGGTTCTTATTTTTACCCATTCCCCGTCCCCCCTTCACCCTTCCCTGTTTACAAAGACTTGTTTACATATTTTCTTTTTTTCATATTTTTTATTTTCTCTTATTTCTTTACCCCTACCCTTCCTACTTCCCCTTCTCCTGTAGACCTTTTCTTCCCATATCACATTATCAGTCATACCATTTGAACCTTCTTTACACTTTTACTTTTTCACACCAGAGAAACTATTTGGTATTTACACATGTGTGTCCTGTTTATTTCACTTAAAGAATATGGTCTCAGTATGCATCCATTTAGCTATATATAATGTCTCTAGTTTTTCATTTTTATGGCTGAGTAATAATCCATTTTATAGAAAAACCACATCTTCTTTATCCAGTCTCCAGTTGGGCATTTGGGTTGTTTCCAAGTTTTAGCTGTTACGAACTGTGCTGCCATAAACATGGGTGCACATATATCACTGTGGTGTGATGTCTTTAATTCTTTTGGAAAGATACCTAGCAAAGGGATAGCTGGGTCAAATGGAACCTCTAATCATAGTTCTTTGAGTTATCTCCATGTTGATTTCCACAGTGGTTTCACCAGTCTGTGTTCTCACCAACAATGAAGAAAGGTTCCTTTCTCCTCACAGCCCACCAGCATTTGTTATTGGTTGATTTCTTGATAGCAGCCATTCTTACTGGGGTGAGGTGGAATCTCAGTGTCGTTTTCATCTGCATCTCTTGAATGACAGGTGATGTTGAACATTTTTTCATATATTTATTTGCTGTTTTTACTTGTTTGAGAAATGTCTGTTCATTTCAGAAGGCTAGTTTTGAATCGGGTCTTTATAATTGGGGGCTCTGATTTTTTTGAGCTCTTTATATATTCTAGATAGTCGTCCTTTGTCTGAGGAGCAGCTGGTAAAAATTTTTCCCACATTGTGGGTTGTCTCTTAGCTCTGTTGGTGGTTTCTTTTGTACTGCAGAAGCTTTTTAATAGGACGAGATCCCAGTTGTTGATTCCTTGTGGAAGTCCCCATGCTACTGAGGATTTGTCCATAGTCTTTTCCTATGCCAATGTCTTTGAGAGTTCTACCTAACTTATTTTACAGCAAGTTTAATGTTTCTAAAGTTTAGTGTTTCTAGATCTTTAATCCACTTGGATTTTAGGTTAGTGCATGGTGAAAGATAGGGGATCTAGTTTTAATCTTTGGCAGGTTGAAATCCAGTTTTTCCAACCCCATTTATTAAAAAGGCTATCTCTCCTCCTGTGAGGATGGTTGGATCCTTTGTAAAAGATGAGGTAGCTGAGTATGTCTGGTATTGTTTCTTCTAATCTATTCCATTGATCCTCCAGTCTGTTATTTGCCAGTACCATGCTGTTTTTATCCCAGTGGCTTTGTAGTATAGTTTCAAGTTGGGGATTGTGATCCCTCCTGTCATTTCTCCATTGCCAATAATGGCTTTCATTATTCTAGGTGTCTTTTGGTTCCAAATGAATTTGTGGATTGTTTTCTCTAGTTCTGTGAAATATACTGTTGGGATTTCAGTAGAGGTTGCATTGAATCTATATAGCAGTTTTGGAAGTATGGCCATTTTCACTATGTTGGTTCTTTCTCCCCATGACCAAGGGATGTCTTTCATTTTCTTATATCCTCTTCAGTCGCTTTTTTCAGAGTGCTATAGTTTTCAGTGAAGAGATATTTGCTTCCTTCGTTAGATTGATTCCTAGTTGTTTCATTTTTGGGGATGCTATTGTTAAAGGGATTGATTCCTTAATTTTATTCTTAGTGCTTCTGTTATTTATGTACAAGAAGGCTATTGATTTTTGAGTGTTTACCTTGTATCCAGCTACTCTACTAAATCTATCAATTAAGTGTAGAGGTCTTTGGCAGAGTTTTTTTTTTCTTTTTTTTGGGAGGGTCTTGTGTGTAGAGTATTGTATCATCAGCAAATAATGACAGTTTCACTTCTTCTTTTCCTATCTTTATTGCTTTTATTTCTTTCTCTTGTCTAATTGATGTGGCTAATGTTTCCAGAACTGTAATGAACAGGAGTGGTGATAGTGGACATCCTTGTCTTGTTCCTGATTTTAGTGTGAAGGTTTTCAGTTTTTGACCATTTAGTATGATGCTGGTTTGTTGGTTTTTCTTTTGTCTTTTTTGAGACAGGGTCTCGCTATGTAGTTGAGACTGACCTGGAACTCACTATGTAGCTCAGGCAGGTCTTGAACTCACAGTGATCCTCCTGCCTCAGCGTCCCAAGTGCTGGGATTACAGGTGTGCACCACCACACCTGGCTTATGTCTCTTTGACGGGGGGACAGGGTCTCACTATATAGTTGAGACTGACCTGGAACTCACTGTGTAGCCCAGGCTGGTCTCGAATTCACAGTGATCCTCCTGCCTGTTGGTTTTTCATAGATAGTCTTTATCGGGTTAGATAAAGACCATCTATTCCAATTTTCTGTAGTTTTTTTTTTTTTTTATCATGAATGGGTGTTGATTTTGTCGAATGTTTTTTCTGCATCTATCAAGATGATCGTATGGTTTTTGTCCTTGACTCTGTTAATATAGTATATTACATTTATGGATTTATGTATGTTGAACCATCCTTGCATCCCTGGGATAAATCCGACTTTGTCAGGGTGTGTGATATTCTTGATGACCCTCTGTATTCTCTTTGCCAGTATCTTATTGGGGAGATTGGCCTGTAGTTCTCTTTTTTGGTTGGGTCTCTCCCTGGTTTTGGAATCAAAGTAACACTTGCTTCTAGGAATGAATGTGAAAGTTTTGCTTCCCTTTCAGTTTCATTGAAGAGTGTAAAAAGTAGTGGCAATAGTTCTTCTCTAAATGTCTTGTATATTTCAGCAGTGGAGCCATCAGGACCTGGGCTTTTCTTTGTTGGTAATGTTTTAATTATATTTTCAATTTCACTGGATGAATTGGGTGTTTAGACTTTTCATACCTTTTTCATTCAGCTTTGGAAATTCATATGTATCTAGGAATCTGTCCATTTCTTCTGTGTTTTTCATTTTATTAGAGTACAGGTTTTTGAAATAGGCATTGATGAGCCTTCATTTCTGCTGCATCTGTTTTGACTTTACCTTTTTCGTTCCTAATTGCATGAATTTCACTTTTTATTTAACTTCCACTGTAATCTTTTTTTAAAAATGCAACTTTTTTTCATGAAAAAAATAAAACTAAATTCCATAATAAAAATAAATAACAATAGTTAATGTATTCTATATTGTTATCTTCAAAGTAGTTGCTCAGGATACAAGACACAAACCAAAAAGAATCTTATAAAATCGAAACAGAGGATAACACAAATCTTAACAATGGAATTTGTAATTTGGGGAAGTATTTTAACTTCTCCCCATTTCTTATTTATCTCTCTTCGGTTTTGTTCTTCATGTTTCTCATCTGAGAGAAACCAAATGATATTTAAACTTGTGTGAGAAATTCCATTTGACCCAGTGATCTGCATTGTGATTTTTACTGTAAATTGTGAGAATCCCATAGTGTATCAAAATTCAAAGGGCCAGGGATTTAGCTCAGGGTGCTGTGCCTGCCTCATAAGCTCACGGTCCTGAGTTCAATCCCTGATAATAGGCCAGAAAACTCAAAGAAAATTTGATCTTGAATAGTGAGCACTGAAATGACAGAACTGTTTCAGGAATATTAGTATAAATATAGTATAAGTATAGTACTTTAAAAAAAAACAAACTGCCAGAAATTTCACTTTTAGGAAATAATGATTATAAAGGGGGAATTGTTTTCACAGAAAAAATAATTCTAAAATTCTATACTCACATGTTGCAAAATGTGAAATATTAAAAATGATATCTCTAATTGGAACTTGAACAATAATTTCAATATCATAGCTATGATTTAAATTATTTTTGAAGGAAGATATATTGGAAATACTGGTAGCATTTGTATGTATGTTTATATGTATATATAGGAATTACTTTTTAATATTCATGTGAGTAGTGAAAAAGTATTGGTATGTATACATATGAATTTTTAATATTCATGTGAGCAATGAAATGCTTGATTTCTTTTTTAATTGCAGTGCATGCAAGATATGGGAAATACTAAAGCAAGACTACTCTATGAAGCCAATCTTCCAGAGAACTTTCGAAGACCACAGACAGATCAATATCCTTTAAAGCTTGTTTTTTGTAGATTTGTATAAAAAATTAATTTTTACTATTTATATTTTATGTGAACTTTAGCACACTATTCATTAAAGATATAAATAGATTTACCTTAAATTGGTCTTTGTTTAAAATAGGTTTCAAATAGAAATTTAGCAGTCCACAATGCATATAATATTTTATGTAAGTATTACTGAGTGTAAAATTTTGTGGCTAGTTTTTCTTGATTTCCATTTCTTTCTTTCTTCTTTTTCTTTGTACCCGGGATCAATGAGAGGACTTGTGCTTTTGAGGCAGTTGATTTCTGTTTCTTGATAGTAGAGTGTAGGTTTACTATTTTAGACTGAACATCCTATTTTAAAATCATTTCTGTATGGATATTCTTTGATCACCTTTAGTAACTATTTTTATGTGAAATAGTTTGGCATTTATGTGTTTAAGCGGCAAATTACATAGTATAAGTACTGAATGATTTATACTAATATTTACTGCTCGCTTTCTTTGACATAGCTTACACAACTGTGTTTGCTTTACAAATCTGCCTTTTTGAATGGATACACTGCTTTCCCACAGGTATTTTAGTCAGGATATATTTCATATTTATTAAAGATTAAATCATTTAATTCTAATATGATTTCTAAAACTCACTCAAGTTGGAGAAAGCAGCTCATCAGAACTGTGCTGCTGTATAAATAAGATTATCTAATTAATTGTAGGTGTTTGGATTCTGTCCAAAGGTAAAAACATTTGTAGTTTTGACAATAAAATGTACTTTGTTAAAGGTCAATTATATATTACCCATTTATACAAGTTTGTGTGGCCAGTGGATAAAAATGATCCTTTATCAAACACAGATACATTTCATAGTTGGACAGAAACCTTTTATGTTATAATCGAAAAGTTAGTAATTTGCATTTGGCCTTTTTCGTTTCTGCATGCTTTCGCATGCGCGCACGCACACACACACACAAACACACACACACCCCTTCACAAATTTAGCAGTGTGATATCCAAGGCTTCTTTTGTTATAGAAATATCTTAGAGGAAGTGTAGGTACATTTCAAGTATACAAATTGTATGCACAGAAGTGTGAAGGTGTGAGGAAACGTGACCTTTTAGGTTTTGATATTGACAAAATTGGGGCAAGTAGCAGAAACAGCTTAAATGATCATTTGACCCAGCACAATGATTTTTTTTTTTTTTTTGATACTGGGGATTGAACTCAGGACCTTGCGCTTGCGAGGCAGGTGGCAGCACACGAGCTAGATTGCCTGCCCAGTACAATGATTTCTGATATCACCTAGAGCAGTGTGGACCTTGTTTCATTGTCCCAAAGGGTTGAAGTGATTGAAAAACCCGTGAAGGGATTTGAAGCAGTAGAATAGTGTGGCATTGAATATAACCACAGGATGATTATCTGGAGGAGGCGGAGAAAGACTTGAAGAACTAGTACAGCCACGGTGAGCAGTGAGGGAGACTGAAGTGCGTGTAATGGCACAGAATGAACAGGAAGGAACTGGGGAGAAACTGGGGATGTGCGAGCAGTCGGACAAGTTAAGATTGGCTTTGATTCTGAGTGTGAACGAGAGTTGAGGGACTGTAATGCTTATTCATTAGAGAAGGAATTCGTTACTAGTTGGAAGTTAAGGGTTAGAAATGAGAGGCAGCAAAGGATGCTGTATTACTTTGGTCACATCACGGTGTATGCTAGACACATAAATGGCATCACCTTCTTGGTACCTGGAAGGAGAGGTCACCACCCTGGAAGACAGCAAGAAATGCAGAATGGGGAGTCATTGCACACGTAGGTGGGATGAGGTAAAGGTCGGGCTGAAGTTCTGGTTACTGAGGGCAGGACTTTATCTTTTTTCTTTTGTTATTGAGGATCTTGGAAATGCTCTTCCCCTGTCTTCTAGAAAGTGAGGGCCTGTGTCAGATCCTTGAATAGCGTGTGATGGAAGGAAGTGGAGCCGAGCAGACAAATCAGAGTCCCAAGGGCTGTTGGCATCTGCCTCCTGCGCATATTAATTTTCCTCTTTCTGCTGCCCACCCCCAAGCCTGCGTTTTAGAGGGATCTGTCAAACTGAACAGTCTCCCTTTTCTGGAAGTTTTTCTTTTAATTGAGGGGGTTGGTTTGCTTTGAGCTGGGTTGTTTTGGGATTCTTGACTCTTCAGTTGAAGTTCTTGAAAGTTATTTTTATTAGTACACAGCTGCAGTACACGGTGACTGTTCATTGTGAGGAATTGGTACATTACAGACATCTCAGTTCTTTTTTTCCTCCTTCCCCTCTAGAGCCTCCCCACATTACATTCATTAATTTAATCTTCTAAGTTCTTTAAGGTTAATTTTCAAACATACAGATTAACAGCTGAACTAACAGGCCAAAAAGAAACCAAAAACAAAACAAATAAAGACAATAATACTAAATCAAGGTGCACTGATTGTCCGTGCTAGATTATAATAACTTTTTTCTCCTTTTATTTTGTACTAATTTATATTGAGTTTCTCATGTAAGAGAAACCATGTGCTATTCAAGCTTGTGTGTCTCATTGACTTCACTTAACATTGTGGTCTCGACCCACTTTCCTATAAATGACTCAAGCTATCCTTTATGGCAGAATAGTACTCCATTGTGTATAAATACCATATTTTCTTTATCCACTCATTTGTTGACATGTAGGCTATTTCCAGAATTTAGCTATTATGAATTGTTCTGCTATAAACGGGTATGCATACAGCACTGTGGTATGAAGTCTTAACTTTTAGGGAAGACCGAAGGGGAATGACTAAGTCAAGTGCAACTTCTATTTTTAGTTTTTTGAGGAATCTCCAAACTGGTTTCCCGTAGTACCAGTTTAATCTCCCACCAGTGAGGAAGAGGGGCTCCCTCACCACCCCCTGTAGCCTCTCCAGGACGTGTTAATGATTGATCTCTCCATGGTAGCCATTCTTTCTGGAGTGAGCTGGAATCTCAGTGTCGTTTTAATATGTATTTCTTAAATGGCCAGAGATGTTGACATTTTTTTATGTATTTGTTGGCCACTTAAATGTCTTCATCTGAAAGATATTATTTCAGATGCCCATTTTTCAATTTGGTCTTTGTACTGGGGTATCTATTTTTTTATTTCTTTGTGTATCAGAGATATTAGTTCTTTGTCTGAGTAGCTGGCAAACATTTTTTCCCATTCTATAGGCGGTCTCTTCATTGTGTTGGTGCTTTCCTCTGCTGTGCAGAAGATTTTTAATATGATTTTTAGTTTAATTTAATTTTTAATTTGATCCCATTTGTTGATTCTTGGAATTATTTCTTGTGCAGCTGGATTCTCTTCAGAAAGTCTGTTCAGAATGTCTTCAAGAGTTTTACCTATTTTGTCTTCCAGCAGGTTAAGTGTTCCTGTTCTCATATATAGATCTTTGATCCATTTTGATTTGTGTAGTGCGTGGAGAGTTGAGTGTAGGGTCAGTCTTTGGCATGTGGATACCCAGTTTTCTCAGCACTGTTTGTTAAAGAGAGTCTCTTTTTTCCAGTGAAGGTGTTTGGCCCCTTTGTCAAGATAAGATAGCTGAGTGTGCCTGGAATATTTTCTGCACCCTCTGTTCTGTTCCATTGATCCACAAATATCATGCTGTATTTTCATCACTGTAGCTTTGTAGTATAACTTAAAGTTTAGGATTGTGATGCCTCCTGCCTTGCCCTTGTTACCCAGAATTTCTTTTGCTATTCTAGGTTTTTTCTGTTTCCATTTGCATTTTATGATTACTTTCTCTAGTTCTGTGAGGAATGCTGTTGGTATTTTGGGATCTTGTTAAATCTGTATGACAGTTTTGGACGTACGGCCATTTTCACTATTCTGGTTCTGCCTGTCCAGGAACACCTTCTTGGACATCCTTTTTCAGAGTACTGTAATTTTCATTGTAGATAGAAGTCTTTTACTTCCTTGCTGAGGTTAATTCTTGAGTTTGTTTTGGATGCCATTGTGAAAGGTACTGTTTCTCTGTTTTCTCTCTGGATTTATATTGGTGTATAGGAATGCCATTGATTTTTGAATGTTGACTTTGTATCCTGCTACCTTGCTGAATTTGGTTATCATTTCCACAAGTCTTTTGGTAGAGTTTTGGAGGTCTTTATGTAGAGTACCATGTCATCATCAAATAATGATAATTTATCTTCTTCTTTTCCTGTCCACATCCCTTTTATTCCTTTCTCTTGCTGGATTGCTCTGGCTAATATTTCAAGAACTATATTGAACAGGAGTGGTGATAGCAGACATCTTGTTCCTGATTTTAGAGGGAAAGGTTTCAGCTTCTCTCCCTTTGATATGATGTTGGCCATTGGTATGTCTTAGATAGTTTTTTTATCAGATTGAAATAAAGACCTACTCATGGCAAGTGTTTAGCTGTCCCCTCAAAGTCTCATGTGCAGTCATAGGTGGAATTTTTCCTGAGGTGGCCCAATCTAGAGTGTGTGATTGATTCATGGTGCAATGCTAGGATTAAGGTGTAAGTGCTGTCTGCCCTAAGGGCAGGTAGCCTGCATAAAAAGTGAGGGACAGAAAGAGGACGGATACACTCTCGCCCTCTTGCTGGCCGTGGACTGTTTCTCCTCCATGATGCCCCTCTGCCGTGCCACCTTGCCTTGGAGCCAGCCGACTATGGACTGAAACTTCTGTGAACTGTAAACCCAATAAACCTTTCCTCCTTTAATTTGGGGTGTTGGGTATTTTGTCTTTGCAACAAGAAAAGTAACTAAGACCTATTCCTGTTTTCTTCTGTTCAGGGTTTTTATCATGAGTGGATGTTGGAGTTTGTCAGATACTCTTCCTGGGTCTGTTGAGATAATCATAGTGATTTTTAGTCCTTCTGTTTATGTGGTAGATTAGTTTTATTGACTGGCATATGTTGAACCATCCCTGCATCCATGGACTGAATCCTACTTAATCGTGATGAATGATCTTTTTGGTGATGTGCTGTGTTCTGCTTGCCAGTATTTTATTGAGGAT